CATAATCAGAGGCGTATTTAGGGGGGGCTGAGGGGGCTTGAGCACCCCCCTCAGGGCTGGGCTCAGAAAAAAATTACTGAAGTCCTGGACTCTTGCATCACTACCAAGCCTCTTAGGACTAATCAGCATAATTAGCCCCCTGATTATGATTTCAGCATTTTCCAGTGCTTTAAGGAGCAATCAGAAGTACCAGTAACATGGCAGTATGCTTGAAATGATCTTGGCCCTACCCGTTGTTGACGAAAATGCACGATAAGGCCGTTTTTTAGGAGGGTGTGGCCAAAATCGTGGCGTGCTTCGTGCACCCTCAGCACCCTCCTTTCTAAATTCTTAGATACACCCCTGATAATGAATAATACAATATAAGTAGTGTGGCAAGGTTTTGCAGTTTACAATATCTCTGCTTTCACTTTTTGCACTGTTTGTTATGATTATTTGCACCACTTAGCAGATGAGTTATTTTTGTTACAAAAATGTGAATGAAAGGAATGTACCGTATTTACTCAATTAAATGCCCGGGCGTTTAATTCTTAACAGGAAAAAAATCAGGTAAAAAAAAAACAAAAAGCCTATAGTGGATTCGAATGCGCGATCTTTGCGATCTTGGAGCATTCCAAAGTGTAGTCCAACAGTTAGACTATCTGCCTCAATCTAAATCCTAAGGCACATAATATCTAGAGCACATAATATTATATACTCTTGATAATATTATACTGGGTAAAATATGCATATCTATAGTTAGAAAATATTTTTCATGGGCATTTATTTAAGCAGAGCATTTATTCGAGCAAATACGGTATACTTCTAGACAAACTGAAATAAACATTCTCCTTATTTCCTTACATTCCATTAGTATCCTTTCTAAATACTTTATTTTAATAGGTGGAACTGGAACAGCTGCTACACTTCAAGCTCCTTCATACCCTTTTCCAACTGTGGTACCTAGGACAAACCCAAATGAACTGAGTACAATAAATCATACTGTATGTATAATATTTACAATGTACTTTTTCAGGTATAAATGATTTAATGATTGTGCTAACTGTGTTAACTGAAGCAATGTTTGGACCTCTTCGATGGATACATTTAGGACTATCTCTGGGTCTCTTAATGCCTACTCTTAATGTGATTGGTAGAACTAATGGAGACGCTAACGATCATCTCAAACTAACTCTTCGATATTGGTTGGAAAAGAAAGATAATGTTACAGGAACCACTTGGGACAACTTAATAAGAGCAGTCAGGAGTACTGGGGACATGGCAGCTGCTGAGAGGATGCCAGGCATTTTGAGATCAAGTACAGTCTGTACAGATACATTTTTAATTTTTATGAGACAGCTGTAATAATAATTGATATGTATTTGTGCAGTAATACAGCAGCCTTTCCATTATGTACTCATAGTCTCTACCTCAGTACAGATTTGACTCATTTTATTGGTGGCATAGCATTATCAGAATATCTAATATCTATGGGGATGGTCTCATACACACTCACAACAACTGATACCAGAATAAAGCTCTTTGCATAGTTTTTTCTTCCAAAATCAATATAGATTGAATTCAACTAAACTTTGCAGCTTGTAAGCTAAGGTTATATACATGGTATTATCCTTTTAAGGTTTATAAAATTAATACAACCATTAACCTTTTAGAGTTACTATTGTTATCATAGTCACTCCCTCCTACAACATTGTACAGGCAACCCACCACTGATAAACCTGTCACTCCCTTTGGTTTGATTGTATCTCTGCATACCATAATTGTTAATATTAATTTTATTTTACTTAATTTTTTTTCACTTTGCTACAGAACTTAGTTCAATTGATCAACCTAACACTCCAGACACTGATAGAAGACAAGGTATTCAATTCAAAATTCACTCACAGAATGTGCTACACACACTATAGCCTCATACTAATTTGCTATAACTTATTCTTACACCTTTTACATAGTAATTATTTTTAACAAATCAAAGAATCATAATAAATTATGTTAATTTTTAGGAAAAATAGACAAATGGCTGGAAGAAGGTGAAGTTGTGCTAAAAGTCACTCGTATCAATATGCATGGTGCACCTGGAGCTGGTAAAACATGTTCAAAGCACCTCCTACTTAATGAGCCACCACCAACTTCTACTGATAGTACACCAATAGCTTGTCGTGCTGTTGAAGCAACAAGAATATCCATTGATGATAAAACAAGCAAGTGGGAGAGGGTTGAAAGGAAAGATTTATTTAAAGAGTTAGCATCTCATCTTGACAAAGCACCAAATGAAACAAAACACGAGAATTTTAAATTTGCTCGCATTTTGTGCCTAATAATTGTTTTTTGCTATAATTTTGTAAAAAATAGCATAATTGGCACTTTTTTGGGAAATCCATGAGCAATGAACAACCTAAGGACAAGCCAGCAGAAACTGGAGTAATTAATAACATTGTAAATGCTCGTGCAACTGAGAAATTCAACACAAATTGGGTTTATTTTATTGATTCGCGGTGGTCAACCAGCCTATCGAGAGTTGCTACCTC